AGGTTTAAGAGGAGAAGCAACTCTTGACATAATCGCAAGCAGCAGAGTCTAATTCAAAATGCATCCATCAAAGCACCACTAGCAGCAAACCCTGCACATTCAAAGTCAGTATCTCTGCAAGGCAACAAAAGCTAGAAAAGTCTTTTCTGGGTTTAAGTACTGCTGCAGTTCACCATATAAAAGAGGAAGCTTCCTAATTTAAGAATTTCAACCAAAAGAATAAGGTGTTTCAGAAACTACTGAAGATACCATACCAGTTGTTTAGCAAAAGCATGCATCCCTAATCAGATTTTAAGGAAAAAAAGAGCTTCTACCACCTTGCCACAGGATTCCATCAGAAGATGTCTTCAGAAACACTGAAGTCATGTACAAAGCAGGAAAAGCGGATTGGAAGATTAAGGATATCAAAAAGGATTATGAGGAACAACTTAACAAGATGCAAACCTATGCTTGAGAAAGGATAAACTAGCTCAGGAGCCCAAAAACCTGCTTCTGTTAAGTGAATTAAGTGATCAGAACAGAGAAAGTTAAGTGATCATAATGCATGACAAATATAGAAGCTAGGGTTTGGGGTTTTTTTTTTCTTTATCCCACAGCAGTTTCCCTGATCTCTAACTAAACAGGGAGAACTTGTCCCAGACCGGCTTTTTAGTAGAAAATATTTCACAGCAAGATCTATTCCTAGTAGTTTGGTGTCCACCAAAGGCAGCACTAGCTTGATACTGCATTTGTATCAGAAGAACATTAAGTGGCAATCTTTTTTTTTTCTTTTTAATTTAAAAGCATTAGTTTTGACATGCATAATAGTTCAAACTACTCAAAAGTAGAATCAATGCAACACATGAATAGTTATGACTATATCAAGATGTCAACATAGCTTTTGTAAATGCAAGTAGTGTCTTAAAGACACCATTAGGAATTATTTGCAAAAATCAGTGAACCACAAAGGAAATCTGTTATCTACCTGGATTTCCAAACAGCGTTTGATAATGCTCCCACATGTCCTTATGAAAACTTACAAGGAAACTAAGCTCACATGGGATGAGACGGAAGACCTTCATGTAGATAATGAACTGCTTTAAACAGAAAACAAGCAGCTACAACCCTTAAGTTTCCATATTAAATGAAGGTCACCAGTGAAGCCCCAAAGTGCCCTATGCTAGTCAACATCCTCATAAGTGTTCTGACAAGGGGACAAATAGCAAAACAGAAAAGTCTGAGGCTGCAAGGTTATCTAGAATAAGCCAGTTCAAGAACTGCAGATGGACATTAAAATACAGACTGCACAATGAAGTAACAGGCAGAATTTGAGATATAAGCACAGAGGCATATGAGAAGGTTCTATCTGTACAAAGATGCAATGAGGGGCTCTGCACTGGCTCCAAACACTGAGAATCACGATTGTGAAATTAGAATTCTGTTAACAGGTCTGTTCAATACTCAGTAGCCAAAAAGAACAGCCAAGTCCCATGTTAGCAATCAGGAAACAAAGTATAAGATAGAACAAGATAGCCCAAGATGTAGGAATACTGTAACACTATCACACACAGGTCTGGTTCATCTCAGTCCCAAAGGTACAACAGAAGTGTAAACCACACAGAGGTGATAAACATCTAGAGGCAGGAAACAGCTTCAAGAGAAGGAATGATTAAATAGACTAGAAAACAGACAACTGTCAGGTGATTCAACTTTTCCCTTCCCTCTTTCAAGTCAGCTGCAAAGAGGACTCATGGACTGCCTCATTAATGCATAGACCTTGTGGCTGGCAGCAACTACAAGCCTAGTGACAGCCTCAGGACAAAAAAACTGGAACTTTACATAATGCATAGCTTAACAGAGGAACACCTTGCCACAGCACACTGCTGATTGCTCCTACCAGCTCAAGATAAGAGGAGACAAATTCATACATAAAATCCACAATAAGCTTAACAATCATTGCCTGTAGCCCAGGTAGTCCGAGAACCAAAGATCACTGAAATTTTTTTCAATAAGACATTATTCCAGGAAATATCACCACAGGCACACACCGATATATTCTTCTCCCAACATTTGGCATTGGCCTCTAATGGTCTCGCCCAGTACAGCTGTTTATGTTCTTAGTGCCAATTATCTCTACTGCCAAAGCCTAACAACTGTGAAAAGCATCATGAAGCTGATTGCCAGGATTAAACTGCTCCAAACATGTCCTGTTCTCCTTTACACACAGATGTGAGCACCTGTCATGCAAAGTCTTCTCATGTTTTATTACTGTAGCTCAGCCTTTCTGACCATGTTCTAGTACTAGCACTAGTAACTACTGCTGCCGAAATATTCCTTTCATTCCATTACCGAAAGCATCAGTGTCTAACTCTACACTAGGCATTCACTTTACAAGGAAACTTTGAGCTTTACCTCTAGACAACTTAATCAACTGCAAAAAGAGAGGTGTTCTGTTCTTTTGACAATTCATCCAGCAGCTACCCTTGAACTCTGCTGCATACCAACCTTTAGGCACGAAAACAATCTGTTCAAGCTCATCCCAGTACTCTCTGAAGTCTCTCTCTGGATGTTTACAATAACTAACAGGCAACTACTCCCACCCTCCTCCTTGCACACTACAGTATATACTGCCTAGTTCTGCCCTGATCCTAAAGCCAGATGAAACAAGAATCGAATTACCAGTACCACCAGCCTCCTACATTAAGACCTTCACTACAGGCATCCACCTAACACTGCAGGTAACAGACACTAATGATTTAACAGATGAAGCATAGCCCATTGTGTTGATCCTTCATTAGAAGGTATTCGAGCAAGACAGCACTGTCAAGTACAGGGAGGAGTTAGAATACCACCCCTGGGAGTCCCTTAAAACCCTTTCAAGTGCTGGACACCCCGGTGCAGACACCAAGGGCTTCACAGAGTTTCCAAAGTCTTCATTTTTTCAGCTCAGCCAAAGTACAAGAAAAGAAAATTTGCAAAAGGGGCTGACAATGTGACATCCCTACATGTTAATTTGCATTGTCCAGCTCTGACAGCAGCATAATAAGACACAAGGGTTGACAAACACGGAGCCAGAGCTATCGAAGGTGCTGAATGCATTGCTTTTTTAATCGTGCATTGCACAAAACCCAGTAATTGAATTTACCTTGGTCACCAAAGTTCAGCAATGTATCTAAAAGCAAAAAAACCCAGTAAGACTGGAATTAGAAACACTTCAGCGTACAGGTGAAGGAAAAAACCAAAATCTAATACAGACTTAGTATATAGTAACACCACCGCATCCGAGTACCTACAGAAATGAATGTCTGGATTTCATTTTTGGTACACAGTATCCTTCAGCCATTAACAGGCGAACACTGAAGCAAGTCTTCTGGGGAAGCATAGTCACAAGCTTACCTTGCTTATGAGAATTCTCCCGAAGTATCTGCTACAGTCACCAGGCAATGCTGGCCTGAATCCTTCTTCCGCCTAACCAAATGTGGTGTTTGTGCTCTTGTGCTCTACAACAGAACTTTTGTGTCATTAGTGACCTGGTTTAGTAGTGGACAGGTACGGTTGGACTTGATCTTAAAGGTCTTTTCCAACCAAATGATTCCATGATTCTATGATTATCAAGAGATGGTTAAAGACAACAGGTATGGAGGGGGAAGAATCAATGCAGTGAATTGTCAGACGCTATGCAATGCTAATTAGTCCAGGCAAAGCACCATTCCAAAGTATCATAACACTTCTGGTATCCACCCTAATCCTCAACAAGCCAGTTATGTTGTTTCTGCACAGCACTGTAATGTACCAATAAAGTATGCCAGGTATTTCAGCACTAATCTCATTCAACATCTACAATTAATCCAAAAACTTAGTTGAAAGTATTAAGCAGAACAGGCTCATATTGTTTAAAAAGCCTTAATTATTTACTTTGTTAAATTCATATTAATAAGCAGAAGAATCAAATCAGGTATGATTTTATACTGCTCATAAGCAATTAGCTACATCTTAAGAGAAAGCACCCTATTAGCTGTGTACCCAAGCAATGCAAACCTAGCACTAGAATCCTTAGTAAAAAGTTTAAATAGCCTGAGATTCAGTATTTTGAAATAAAATTCCAGTACTTTTAAACTCTCTAGATGTTTAAATTTGTCAGATATATTTAAAACACTGACTTTACAGAAACAGAAGGTATTAGTTTGATGTACAAAGACCCTAAGATGCTAGATGTAGTTTAAAACCTCTCAAGAGGATACTTTACATTAGCAAGAACCCACATGTAGTTCTAAACATCAGTCACAACAGTTTGAGCTAACCTCATAATATTAAAGGACACTTGTCTGCATCACATCTGAAACCAATCATTTTGTCATCTCTACTGTGCTGTACTCCTAACCTAAACCCAGGCATTTAAGAACTTACACTGTTGCTATACTAATCACTCTGTTGAAGCACTGGAATAAATATGGCTTCATTCTCCTCACTCCTCACCTTCCAAAAATCTGGAAAAAGATGACACATGTCAATCTAAGCTAATCGAGCATGGCTATTCACACTTGTGTTTTATGAGAGGGATAATTTCCTTTACAACACAAATATTAGCATGCTACTGTCAGAAGGTGACTGAGCAATAGGTGTGAGTCCACTGGAAGAAAGGAATGCTGTATATAGAGCAAAACACAGCCTTTACAGCACAAAGTATTCCTAAACATCACCACACCTACCATCACAAAGCCACTGAATATGATCCATTTGAAAAAAATGGTGATTACTTTCACTGCTACAGACCACCTCCAGCTCAGAATGAGAAAGACAAGAGAGCACAGTACTATTTCAAAGCACGCAGGCATTTCATCAAAAGTACTACTGCAGCCTGGGAGAGGGCAAACAGAGATTACCCTTCTTAGTCTGCTACCAAAAGACACTACAGTAACACTGTGAGCTACCGCATATCACTTGGAAATTTCAGCACGTTGTAGAAAAACATTCTGCAGAAAACAACATTCATGGTAGAGTAAGCTCTAACATTCACATACGTGCACAAGAACATCGATGATCAAGTCATCCTTCTTATAATCCATGTCCAAAGCAGACTGCAACTGCAGATTGTAAGGATCATTTTTTAACAGTTGCATACACCAGTCTGACACCACTGAAGATGCTCTGTCAATCGACCAGCACAGTTATGGAAGTGATGCTTCAGGATTGGGCCAACAGTTCCAAGCAACACCAGGCAGCAAATCAGGAACATAGAGAATTCAGAAGAAACTTCTGTAGGGATCTGTTGCTGCCCCAGTCTTTTCAGTGCATTTTTATTTGAAGAGCCAAATAATACACCGGTCTGGCTTCAGGAAAACTAAGTTAAACTCACCAGTAGTCAGGAATTACTGCAGAAGATAAGACACCTAAAGCCACTCCATCAGTGACAATATTTCTGTTATTTCAATCATGTAAGTACTTAATAAAACAATTTCTAACACCAAACAGAAAACTGTTTTAGAATACACACTTGTCCAAGATTCAGCTTGGGTAACAAAAATCAAAGTTTAAGGCAGAAACTGCTTCTCATGCTGAAGTCTATGGTCTCAGCTTCCATGCTCTCCTTCAGCACTAGTTCCCTGCTACTCTAAGGAAAGCTACGACACTTGTACAGTTTTGTGAAGCTTAATGATTTGACAAATTAATCATGAAACTATGGGATCACACTTGCTGTAGTTACTGGTGTCCCACCCTCTAGTATCAGGTCTCACTGTAGTAACAGATCCTTGGCAGAAGGACAGAAGATCAGGGAAGACAGCTTCCACTTTCAAAGATACATAGCCAAGCACTTGTCATTAACTCATCAGCAAAAGACCCACCTCTATTATGGAACTGAATAGCGCAAGTGAAGCTCAGCTAAACAATTTTCTTGTGTATGGATTCTCTATAAACTTATACTTGAAAAGTGGCATAACCTTTATTAAAGGAAAGCCAACAGAAAACAAAAGGGCAGGGGATGAAAAATAAGGATATGAGATCGGCATAGGTGGTGCTGCCTAACAACTAGGGGGCAGAAACTGCAGTACCTGGATTCGATTCCTGGGTTTGCCATAGACCTGCTGGGTGACCTCAAGCAACTCCCTCATCCGCCTGCCTGCCTGGAGACCTACCTCAGTGACACTGACTTGTCTTACACAGGTAAATTAAAATATTAATTCAGTGTTCTACTGCACCTCTATGGAAATAAGGAAGTTCAGACTATTTTTAAGATTACATTGGCATTTTAGACATGCATCTTATTAGTACAAGACTCAAAGCTCCTAGCACATGATACCTTAAACATCCAAATCTTAGCTTCCTATAAGCAATTTTCATTTTCAGTGTCAGTTTGGAATTAAAAAGCAGTAGTCACAAGTCTTATCCTCCCCAGGAGAAGCTATGGTTTGAAAAAAAGGACTGAAACATCTTTTAATGCTTCCAGATAGCTTTAACGCGCTCAAGGCCTGACAGTACCAACCAAAAGAGAAAAGGAAGACCCTGTCCTTAAGTTAAATCTCTCACTTAAATTTCTCCAGCTCTGAAAGCTTACCCTGTTATCTTTATCTATTTCACTCTACAAATAGGCAGTGCCTTTACTCCATGGGCATCCAAGGGTCTTGGAGTTTAAGAGTTCCAAGGAACTATTTTTGAAATGACAGCAGAAATCTGCCATGGTCAATCAACGCAGCTAGCACTTTTTCCCATGAACAAAATAACCTTAACATTAGAAAGCAACATTTCCCCTTGACTGAGTGAAATTTGACAGCTGAAATACAGAAGCCTCATGGAGCGCCCCAGAGACGCTTTGTTCAAGTTTAGTCCCTTCTATATGCCGATAGGACCAAACTGAATACTCAGCCTTACTAACTACCCAGTTATATGAGAAAGTCACAGCCACAGAATAGGATAAGCTTCATAAGTGTTCTCTTTAGAAAGCCAAGATTTCAGTTCAGGTATTGGCTGGCTCAACCTATTCTGGAGATCGAACATTTCCCTTAAAAACATTCTAAGAGCACAGTGACTTTCATGCTTATTTCAGCCAGAACTGGGCTCTTCCTTTCAGCTGATGTTCCTAACACTCCCCAAAGGAGCCAATCTGCCACAGCCTAGGCAGAGGCATTTAAAAATTAGCGCAAGGGTTTTCCCTGAGCTGCTCTGGACTGAAGCCTTCCACTTCCCCCTTACAATCTGAGTCGACCCCCTAGGAGCTTTGACAAGAGTCCCCCACCCATCTTTGCTTTGATTACCGTAGGTGCCATCTGATAGCGGCCTGACAACTTCACCTCTCGACCTACGAGAAGGCAAGGCCTAACCCCCTGTATCTGTGGGTTCCCAGGCCCTGCCCGCATCTCTGCTGCGGCCACGGGCCACCCAGCTACCACAGACCAACGTGGTTGACGGAAGAACATGGTTTTGTGGCCCGCCACCCCCTACCGTCAACCTCGCTGCCCATCACCGGCTCCAGAGGAGTTCGCGTGACTCCAACCCACCCTCCCCCATGCCCGGAGGGGCTGCAGGA